TTAAGGTGCAGATAAGCAAGGGGTTGGGAGCGAGAGCTGTCTCCAGCGGGCAGTGTGATACTCCAATGGCTGCTGAGAAATGTCAAGGGAATAAGCAGTCATCCAGAGGAACCAAAAGGGGCTCCATGATTTATTTCTTCTGCCTGGAGGACACTTTAGTATCTGGTGAACGGACGATAGTCCTCTGTACCTTGGGTGACTGGCACCACGATAAACACAAATGCACCTGGCCCTGACCTTGGAATTGTGGGGAAGAGGAAACACTGTCTTAGGGGGACTACAGAGCTTTTTGGCCAGATCTGGTGGCAATTGCCCTAGACTAGCCCCTGTCTCGGTAAATGGAGGCAATAGTCCCTTTAGGGTTAGCTGGGCTTCCAGCTAGCTGCCCTGGAGAGAAGAGAAAATGAAAGGAAGGGAGGCTCTCACTCACTTGCAATTGTCCGTCAGAGTGGAGGATCTAACAGGGACTCAAAGAGGGGTCCCTGGGTGGCTCAGTCGGTCAAGCATCTGACTCTTGATCTCAACCCAGGTCATGATCTCACGGTTCGTGGGATGGAGCCCTGTGCGGGGCTTTGCGCTGACAGTGCAGAGCCTGCTTGGGATTCTCTCTCTCCCTCCTTCTCTGCCCCTCCTCCTCCCCTACACACTTTCTCTTTGTCAAAAATAAATAAATATATATCAAAAAATAAATAAAGGGGACTCAGAGAAGGAGAGGAGAGGATAGGAACTGAGAGCTACTCTACATGGATATTTGTTTGTAGAAATGTCTTTAATTTCAGTAGATGCACTCTAGAGAGCAAAGCCCAGAGGACACTATAGAATATTGAAAGTCTGCAAAAAATACACTCTCGGTCTTCCCCCCCCACCCCGCACCAGCTTTACTGAGATATAGTTAACAAATAACACAGTGTATATTTAAGGTGTACAATATGATTTGATAAATGTATACATTGTAAAATGACCACCACAACCAAGTTAACGAACACATCCAATTCACCCTCAGTTTTAATACTGACAGATGGCCACGTAGGTATTTGAACTGAAGCCTGAAAGATGCACTTAGAGGTCCCAGGCTCTGGAAGATCTGAGATTTCGTTTTGTAAAGGTGGGGAGGGTGCATTCTATGACTCACCTTTGCGGCTGCTTGTGATTAACGTCGTCCTCTTGAACTGCCCTTGTGCACACGTCCATCGGCCTGCAAGGGCTACAAATTTTCCCCTGCCATCCCTCTGCACGGGGGCCCTTCTCACTCTCCACACCACAGCAGGATTGTATTTTTTTTTTTTTTTAAATATTTTTATTTATTTCTAGGAGAGAGAGAGAGAGAGAGACAGCGTGAGCAGGGGAGGGTCAGAGAGAGAGGGAGTCACAGACCGAAATAGGCTCCAGGCTCTGAGCCGGCAGTCAGCACAGAGCCTGACGCGGGGCCTGAACCCACAAACTGCGAGATCCTGACCTAAGCGAAAGTCGGACGCTTAACCGACTAAGCCACCCAGGCGCCCCAGCAGGATTGTATTTTTAAGTGAAGGGAAGAAAGGAAATTGTCAGATGAGCTAAAAGTCCTGCTTTCTGGCTTTTTATTTGAAACTTGGGTGTGTGAAGGGGGTTGGCAGGGATTATCACAGTTTTCCAAATGGGAAAAAGGTCAGAGGAGTCAAATGATTTGCCCCAGATCACTCTCAGCCACGACATGTGGCAGAGCCAGGATTTGAACCAGGGTTGTTTGAGTCCAGGGTCCACTCCTACCGCAAGGCCCCAAGTTGCCTTTTTGTTTAAAAAAATTTATTAATGTTTTATTTATTTATGAGAGAGAGAGAGAGAGAGATTGAGAGAGCATGAGCAGGGGAGGGACAGAGAGACAGGGAGACCCAGCATCTGAAACAGGCTCCAGGCTCTGAGCTGGCTGTTAGCACAGAGCCCGATGTGGGCCTGGAACCCGTGAACTGCAAGATCATGACTTGAGCCAAGTCGGATGCTTAACAGACTGAGCCACCCAGGTGCCCCCAAGCTGCCTTTTTGAAGGGAGACTGTGGATGGGGATACACACCTTTCTCTATCAATTGCAGGACAATCAAGTAGGTGAGGGTCTTTTGACTCTCAAACATGGTAATTAGCCTAGGCAAAGATAGAAGGCTATGCCAGCCACTTTGAAGACCAGTGACACTTCCAGCTAAAGGCTGAGCCCAACAACCTATCCAGAAGCGACTGCCAGCCAGAGTCCCACCAGTTGGAATTCTGGCGACATATGAGGCAGGTAAGGCAGCGCTCACTGCCTCTGATTGTCAGCACCTGTGCTCTGCTTCCTCCCACACTGGCGCACCTTGGCTGGGGCCTCCTTTCCCCTTCCATTGTGAGACTTTGAAAAGTGTTCTGGCTCAGCTGGCTTTCCAACTTTCTCCTACTTCTAGGATCTTTTAATCTCAGGGAACATCTTTTTCAAGGAAGCCTTCCTGACAGACGGAAAGCACAGGACATTTTGGGCCCCCAACTCAAGGCTGTCCATGCACTGAGGTACTCTCCAACGTGATCTCAGCAATTTCATCACAGTAGAGGAAATGTTATTCACGAATAGTAAAGGGATCACTTCCTCACCTAAATGACACTGAAAAGGTTCTCTGAAGTAATCAAACTTTGTATAATTAGAAATGATGGGTCTTTTGCTTTCTCAGCCTCTCTGGAAAAATGCAGGACCCATCATGTGGATTTAAATGAAGGAGGCTGGGGCGCCTGGGGGGGCTCATTCAGCTGAGCTTCAGACTCTAGATTTTCGCTCAGGTCATGATCTCACGATTCTTGGGTTCGTTAGAGCCCCACGTTGGGCTTTGTACTGACAGCTCAGAGCCTGCTTCGGATTTTCTATCTCCTTCTCTCTCTGTCCCTCCCCTCTATTCTCTTTCTCTCTCAGAAATAAACAAACATTTTTAAAAAATGAAGTGTGCTGCTCAAAAGGAGTAGCTTTCACAATGTAATGGATAAGAAACTGCATTGGTAGCTGATTGTGATATGTTCTCTCTTCTCTTACCATTGTGCCCTTCAGCAAATCCAGGACACTGAAAGAAAGGAAAGTACCTTTCACATGAGAATGACCTGGATCAGCTTTAATTTATCAACCTTGGGCATGGAATTCAGAGGAGGAAGAAGGAAGCCTGCTCACACCTTTTCCTAAAGCTCTGCTAAGGAAAAAAAGAAAAAAAAGGCAAGTTTGGGTAAGATGGACTTTTTCTTTTCTTTTTTTTTTTAAATGTTTATTTTTGAGAGAGAGAGAGAGACAAAGTACGAGTGGGGGAATGACGGAGAAAGAGGAGACACAGAATCCAAAGCAGGCTCCAAGCTTCGAGCTGTCACCACAGAGCCCGACATGGGGCTCGAACTCACGAATCACGATTATCATGACCTGAGCTGAAGTTGGACGCTTAACCCACTGAGCCACCTAGGTGCCCCTAAGATGGACATTTTCTAAGCATAAAGTGAGGTTTGGTATATTCGTTTGAGGTGTATGTGGGGGGAGAGGGAAGTGCCTTGCCCAGGCAGCATAAAAACAAGAGTTTACCTGGAAATTTTTGTTATGAGAGATGTGAATACTATTAAAGATAATATAACTAAGGGAAACCAAGGCAGAAAAGTATGCTATCTATTAGCCAAGCTTCCTATGTGTAAATCCATATTTACACAAGAGATAATTAGGGAGTGGTTATTTGATTATTGATGGATTTCGTGTTTTAGAGCAAGAGTCACAAGTAGGATTTCCCTAAATACCAAAATTCCTAATAATTGAATTATTAGGAAACTAAATTGAAAGCTAAACTACAACTAAACTCATTTGAAAAGCTGATATCATGTTAATTTACTAAAGTTTCCTTTAGTTGCTCTCCCTTTTTAAATGTTTTATTTATTAGAGAGAGAGAGAGAGAGAGTGTGTGTGTGTGTGTGTGTGTGTGTGAGTGAGTGAGGGAGCGGGTGGGGGGGGAGGGGCAGAGAGGGAGGGAGACAGAGAATCCGAAGCAGGTTCTGAGCTGACAGCAGAGCGCAACGCAGGGCTCCAATGCACACACCACGCTGTAAGATCATGACCTGAGCCAAAGTCTGAAGCTTAACCCACTGAGCCAGGTAGGTGCTCCTAGTTGCTCCCTTGATTAACCACTCCTCCACCTTGCATACACAGAAAACACACATACTAAATGGGGTTGCGAGGGGAACGCAGAAAATACATGTTTAAGAAGCTCCACGGGTCTATTTGCATACAAAGAATGTATATCTCTGGTGATGAGTGTTCATTCCTTAAAGCTTCTTCCAAAGGATTTGTTCTTCGACTTCTCTGGCTAGCCCAGTTTTTACTGATAATGTGTAGTTCAAAGTGATAGACGTACAAGCTACTAAGATTATTATATTTTTAAATTTCAAACTAACTCAGAATTATTTTCCTCCCAACTAGGCTGAATGAATGAATGGGATAGCATAAAGATTACAAAATGATTCAAGAAAAATTCCAGAGTCCAAGAAAAGGGTTGCTGGCGATGCTTTTTGCTCACTAGGTTCAGAGGTTGCTTTTGAAACAGAAAGTAAAAAAGAACCTTTTCTTTTATAGGTGTGGTAGACACTGTTGGTTGCCAACTCTTCCTTTTTTAGGCGGTCATTCCCACCTCTCTCTGAAGCCAGGGTAGCTACGCGACCCAGTTTTGGCCACTGATACATGAGGTTTTGGCCGGGGTGGAAGGATGGATTTATTTCTGTGAATCATTGTCTTAAAAATGTCTTTTCTTTTTAAAAAAAGTTTTTAATGTTTGTTTATTTTGAGAGAGAAAGAGACAGAGTAGAAGCAGGGTTGAGGCAGAGAGAGAGGGAGACGCAGAATCCAAAGCAGGCTCCAGGCTCTGAGCTGTCAGCACAGAGCCCAATGCGGGGCTTGAACCCACAAACTGTGAGATCATGTCCTGAGATGAAGATCATGACTTGAGCTGAACTCACTCAACAGACGAAGCCACCCAGGCATCCCCTTTCTGCAAATAATTTTTATTTCTGATAAAAACAGAGATGGGGGTTCAATGCTATTCCATGAAGATGTGATCTTGGAGCTGTAGCAGCAATTCTGTTACGAGGAGATGACTATCCGAGGATCAACCTTCAACACTCAAGGATGTCAGACTGGAAAGATTAAAAAAAAAACTTTAATGGCATCATCAAGCTACTTCCAAACCCTGGAACCATCTATCTCCAGATAAATATGTTCATTACTTAAGGCAGTCTTTGTCACATGCCCTGTGACTTGCAGCTATATATATATGCTAACTGATGCAACAAACTTGACAAAGGATTCTTCAACTAAGGCACCAATACGCCCATTTGACACCTCTGTGTAAGTTAGAAAAGTTGCTTCTTCCTTTAGATGGATTTCCTTTAGATGGATTTAGGCCCCACTTCTTTTGCCAGGTGCCCTGGTCCCTTTATCGATCACCAAGTAGCCTCCTTACGAGATACGTGAGAGGGCTGCGTCTCTTCAGAGGACTCTGGTTGAAGTTGCCAATTCCAGATAAGGGGGAGAGTGCTTTCTGTCACTTGTGGACTTAATTTGATTTTTAATTGGCTAAAATTTGGGCTGTTGTTATTCTTTTTGCTTTTCATTTTATTTATTTTTGTCTATTTTAATCACGTATACATATTTTTAAGTTAATTTGTTTATTTTGAGAGAGAATGCAAGTAGGGGAGGGGGAGATAGAGAGAGATAATCCTAAGCAGACTCCGCAGAAAGTCGTGGAGCCCGACTTGGGGGCTCAAATTCATGAAAATGTGAGACCATGACCAGGGCCGAAATCAAGAGCTGTACGCTTATCTGACTGAGCCACATAGGTAGCCTACTTTTCATTTTAAACAATGAATTTGTTTTTAACTCCAAATCCAATATTAAACTGTCCATGATTCGACAGTGCACCCCAAAAAAACAATTCTGGGAAAAATACTAGTTAATACAAAATTCTTTTTTACATTTATACAACCAACAAACACTCTGTTAGAACTGGGCTGACAAAGAGAACATTGAAACAATATGTCCACCTGCGGTATGAAAAACTCTTATGGTGCAGCTTATTTAATTCTCCTACTCCTTTATTTAAACTACTAGGGACACTTTTGTGTGAAAAAGAGAGCTAGCATGACATAATTTAGCTTTCACTTGATGCAAATAAGAAATTTACATACTAGGTCAGCCGCTACTAATTAGCTGGCACTATGTCATTTTCATCATGGTTAGCCAAAATTTCAAGTTATTAAATAACTTAAGCCAAAGTATTTTTCTATGCAAAAGCCTAGTTTTGTCTACATAACAGGTAACCTTAATCAACACGAGTACAGCACTATATGCAGGAAAATTATTGTCGTTTTGACTTTAAGACATGCAAATTAACAACAGTCTGACATGCTTTCCCACTAATTAAATACTATATGCTGTTACTTTAGATATTCATTGGTACAAACTCGGCTAGAAACAAACATGAGGACTAACACTGCATGACAAGATCCAAAATAATCTCATATTAGATGATCATAAAATGTAGATGGAACATTTTAAAAAATCCTCTTTGAAGTCATAGATGCATTTGAAAACTTTGAGATAACTCATTTAAAATATCTAAGCTGGCAGCATGAATAGACAGAGCAATCATCACAAGTAAACTCAGGATATGGATGTTAGAGCGAGACCAGGGAATAATATACATGACACATAATATATAAAAATATATTTACTTATATATTTTATATATAGGTATGTATTTTATGTTTATATTTACATATTACATATAAAGTATCTACACTTTATATATATGAAGTAAATATAGTTTATATAATTATATATAAAGACAAATAAAAACAGATAGATATATATGAATCTATATTTATATGTAAATATATATGAACAGAGAGAGAAGAGCTATACAAACTCAATTTTTTTTTTTTTTTTAAATTTTTTTTTTTTAATGTTTTATTTATTTCTAGGAGAGAGAGAGAGAGACAGCGTGAGCAGGGGAGGGTCAGAGAGAGAGGAAGTCACAGACCGAAACAGGCTCCAGGCTCTGAGCTGGCAGTCAGCACAGAGCCCGACGCGGGGCTCGAACCCACGAACCGTGAGATCATGACCTAAGCGAAAGTCGGAGGCTTAGCCGACTAAGCCACCCAGGTGCCCCTATACAAACTCAATTTTAAGATTTACTACAAAGCTATAGTAATGAAGACAGTATGGAATTGGCAAAAGTAGAGACACATAGATGAATGAAGCAGAAAAACCCTGAAATAGATTCACTGACATATAGTCAACCGAGTTTTGACAAGGTGCAAAGTCAATTCAATGAAGAAAGTATAATCTTTCCAGCAAATGGTGCTAAAACATTTCAACGTACATATGCAGAAAGGAAAAAAATAACCTTAACACATACTTCACACCTTATCCAAAAATCAACTCAAAGTGGATCATATACCTGGATGTAAAATGTAGAACTATCAAGCTTTTAGAAGAAAATATAAAATTGGCATCATCTTGGGTTTGGTAACTAGTTTTAATATATGACACCAAAAGCACAATCCATAAAAGGAAAATGTTGATAAATTGGACTTACCGAAATTCGAGACTTAGATTTTGGAAAAAAAATCGTTAGAATAAAGAAAATATTTGTAAATCACATGTACAATAAAGGACTTAGAGCCAGAATATAAAGAATTGCTCTCACTCAGCAAGAACCCGGATAACCCAATTAAAAAAAAAAAAAAAAAAGACGAAAGATATGGTTCTAAAGAAAATATACAAATGGAGAATAAGCATATGAAAAGATGCTCTAAGTAATTAGTCTTTAGGGTAATGTAAATGAAAACCATAATAGATATCCATTACAATGGCTAAAAAAATTTTTTTTTAATTGCTAATCCCCAATGCTGGTTAAGATGTGGTGCAACAAGCACTCTGAGTCATTGGTTGTGGAAATGCAAAATGGTACAGCTAGTTTGGCAGTTCTCAGCACAGTGGAACATACATTTATCATTCGGCCCAGCAATCTGAATCCTAGGTAATTATGAAAGTGAATTGAAAACTTGTATATACAGACATCTGTAAATGAATATTTATAGAAGCTTTACTCATAATCACCCAAAACTGGAGGCTGCTGAGATGTCCTCAAGAGGTGAACAGATGAACAAACTGTAATCCATCCATACAGTAAAATACTACTCGGCAATTTAAAAAATATGAACTATGGATTCACACGACAACATAGATGTATCTTAGATGCATTTGGTTGGGGCACCTGGTTGGCTCAGTGAGTCTTCTGACTCTTGATTTCTACTCAGGTCATGATCTTATGGTCGTGAGACACAGCCCTGAATCGGGCTCCTCACTGAGCGTAGAGTCTGCTTAAGATTCTCTCTCTCCCCTTCTTTCTGCCCCTCCTCCCACCCCTCAAAAAAATTGTGTGTGGTATGTGTGTGTGTGGGGGGGGGGGTTAGAAAACATACTACATACACATCCTTGTCTACCTACCCAAAGGGCTTAGAAACAATGATACCATATTAGCAATGAGCCACAGACCTTGCAAGAAAGAAAGAAAGAAAGAAAGAAAGAAAGAAAGAAAGAAAGAAAGAAAGAAGGAAAGAAGGAAAGAAGGAAAGAAGGAAAGAAGGGAAGGAAGGAAGGAAGGAAGGAAGGAAAGAAAGAAAGAAAGAAAGAAAGAAAGAAAGAAAGAAAGAAAGAAAGAAAGAAAGAAAGAAAAGAAAAAATAAGGCTCCTTGAAGAAATGACTGCTTCTAAGACCAAGACAAGGAAAATACAAGTCTGGTGCTTCTTGTAGTGCTACTAAGTAAGGAAGCGCTAATAAACAGAGAAAATGAGAGAGAGAGGGAGGAAGGGAGAAAGGGAGGGAGGGAGGAAGGAAGGGGGATAGGGCATGTTTAGAGGTACCCAAGACCACTGATAAACGCAGTGCTATGCTAGCGGAACTCACAGGATTCTATTGCATTAATGGCTAAAGTCTATTACAATGACACAGTAAGATTACATAGCAGATCATTAAGTGGGGAAAGATGCATAGAATATGGAGAAATCTATCCACAGCCTTTCCCTCCCAGCCCAGGAGGGGGCAAACTAGGTGTGTTCCGTTTCTGGTAGCGAAAATGCAGTGGCACGTACAGAAATGTTTCTCCTAGGGAAGCCCATTGGAGACTCAGGGTTTTTCTTGGGGGCTGGTAGTATTGGCATTCTCTGCCTGGCAACTATGACAACTGTGGCCTCTCAGAAAGAGGCAGGTGTTCATTGGCTTCAATGGGCAGATCAAGTTCAGAAGGGCATAGAGCTTTTCATATCTGTACAGGGAACTTTTTCACAAGCCAAGTTTCCACATGCCAGCCAAGGGCAACCTTATGGGCAGTAAACATAGCAGCCTCTGACCCATGTTACCTCTTTCCTGTACAGGGCATATCAGGAAGACACAGGGACAACCCAAAGCTACCCCCAAAAGACAGAATTGGAGCAATCCAAACAACAAAATAAGTAATCACAGTTTTGGATTATAATTCAAAGAATAAAATAAATATCCATGAGCCTATACTGATATAAATAAGAAAACAAATAAATTAGTGGTGGCAGGGTATATATGAGGGGAACCAAATCTTACAGAAGGATTTCAAATAATACGTATAGAAGGAATCAGGGATATATTTTTAAAAAAATTTTAAGAAAGTTTATTTTAAGAGAGACAGACAGCATGAGTGGGAAGGGGCAGAGAGAGGGAGAGACAGAGAATCCCAAGCAAGCTCCATGCTGTCAGCACAGACCCTGCGTGGGGCTCGAACTCAAGAGACTGTGAGACCATGACCTGAGCTGAAACCAAGAGTTGGAGGCTAAACCAACTGAGCCACTCAGGCGCCCTCCGGGACATTTAAAATAACCATTGGCACACCATGGTAATAATTGCTGCAGTCAATATCCCCTAAAATTAGAAACAGAATATTTATATAGCCTTAAACTATTTCACCAAAAATATTAGTTATTTGGATGGTTGAAATGTTTATATGGGCACAAATTCTTTGATAATTATCTTTAGGAGGTAATTAGGAGGTAAAGCCTAATTCCCTTCTCCTTAAATGTGGATTGGACATATTGATCTGTTCTAACAAACAGAGTATGGAAAGGGAAAACGTAATTTTACAGCAGAGAAACCTGGCATACATCATTTTAACCAAGTGGCCAAAGTTAACATCATCAATAATAAGTTATATTGATATCGTGTACCTCTGATATGATGTCATGAAAAGGGCACTTCTCCTCTGTGATGTCATTTCCAAAAATCCGTGAGCTCAGTCTAGTAATGAGAAAATATCAGAGAAACTTCAATTTGGGGATGTTCTACAAAATACCTGACCAATACTCTTCAACATTGTCAAGGTCTTGAAAAACAAGGAAAGACCAGGAAACTATCACAGATTGAAGGGGACTTAGATGCAATGACTAAATGTTAACGTGGACTGGATCTCAGAACCGAAAAAGGTCATTAATGGAAAAACCGGTGAAATTGGAATGAAGTACAGTACAGTACAGTACTAACATTGATTTCACAATGTCAATCTTGTACTGTGGTTACATAACATGTTAACATCGAGGAAGCCAGATGAAGGATATCCATGAGCTCTCCGTATTTGCAACTCTCTTGTAAATAAAATCTAAAGTTATTTAAAAAACAAACAACGTTAAGCATGTAGGCTAGCACACACTAGTTGTTAGCTGATGTTAGCTTCTCTTAATTTGCTTGATAATCATCCCCAGAGGGTGATAATGCTGGGAAATTTCTCATTGCCTCTCCTCCAAATAAAGTGTGTTTCTGAGGATGACTGACTTTAGTGGCATTTATAAGCTTGGGAAACTTCATTGCCCTTTAAATGAACAATATCACGGTGGAAAGTTACTAGGCAGATAGTTCTGAAAATCAGTGCTTTTGGTCAATTTTTGAGTTGCCAGCAATACCTTGGTTTCATTGTCCAGTGGGTGGAGACGGGTTTCCGGAGTGCCGACGTGGCTGGGCAAGAACTCAGTCTCTGGACTGTGACCTCTCAGGCAAGATGAGCTAGCTACACACACCCCCAGCGCAGGCTGTGAGCCTGCCACCCAGCCCTCCCGGCCTGGGTTCTTAAGGCTGTTTGGAAGTATGTGACCTAGGATGCAGGAATCAAACCAACACTTAGAGTCAGAAATATCTAAAAAATGGGACAGTGTGAAAGTGTGGCAAGTGTGGGCCTGATTGCTGGCCCCGAGGGCTCTAGATGTCACTTCAATGGTGGTCAAGTGAGAGGCTGGTAAAGAGTGAAGGGGCAGCTTTGGAACATGGACTTATTGTAAGCTGTACTGTATTCCCACCCATGCTTCACCCTACAGTAAAATGCTTGTTTTTCTGTCATTGGAAAAGAGCTTTGTAGTTTTACCCTGGCTAAACTCCTTCCTTGGTGGCTTTTATAAAGCTCCAGTAAAGTTGTTTTTGCTTATTATTTATGTTCTTACCCACTTCCAGGAAGGATGTACGATGGCTTATTCACCAAACAATTTTGCTAACCCTAGGCCTCCATTCTTTTCCAGACCATCTGTTCCTCTTCACCATGAAGTCACAGCACTAAATTTGTGACAGTACAATAATTTCCATGGTAACAGGATGTGGTCTTCACCACTGAATCCTGATTTCACTCTGACCAACATCAAGCAGCAGGGTGACTGGGGAGTGTACGCTGACATTTTCTATTCTTTTTCAAGTCTAGTTTCTCTGAAGTTCTTCCTTCTGATTCTAAAATCTTAAATTCAGCCTGGATATGTGTTTTTGCAGTTTATGTATGAGGCATTTGTCCAGTGAATGACTAGATATGCAAGCCAAAATATAAGATGTTGAGAAATATCAGACAAACCTATACACCCAATGATGTATAACCTTGCCTGAAGGTGGGGTGCTTAGCAAAGTCCTGGCTTGTAGAGAAGAAACGAGAACAGGGAATCCATTTAAAAGACATGAAACTTCTAAGCTAAGAAATTTGCTTTGATGACTGTGATAAGCAGTGGGAGGCATCTGACCTAGTTCCTAGTCAATGGTTTCCTTATCTCGCTTAGCATGAGTAAGACATAAAAGGGTCTTCCCATGTGAGCTCAGACCGTTTGATCAGAGGATGATAGATAGGCAGCTTTATTCATATGAATGACCAATACGTGGATATTTTGTCCATTTGTTTTCATCCCACACTTCCCAGGTATACAAACTTTGGAGAACTTAGAACACCATTTGCTACATGTGGAACTAACTAAAGGGCATGAACTTTTTAAGAGAACTAGTTATTGGAGGGCCGCCTGCGTGGTTCAGTCATTTGAGCATCCGACTTCAGCTCAGGTCATGATCTCATGGTACATGGGTTTGAGACCTGTGTCGGGCTCTGTGCTGACAGCTCAGAGCCTGGGGCCTGCTTCAGATCCTGTGTCTCCCTCTCTCTCTCTCTCTCTGCCCCTCCCCTGCTCGTGCTCTGTCTCTGTCTCTCTCAAAAATAAACATTAAAAAAAAATTTTTTTTTTAAAAAAGACCTAGTTAAACTAGTTACTGGATTTCAGAAACAAATACCTGATTGGTGCACTAATCTAGCAATGTTACAGGACAGACTATAACAGGCAAGGATTGTTATATTGAGGCTTTGCTGAGCATATTACATGACATATACATGATATGCATATATGTCATATATATGTATATAACAAGAAAAAGTGTAACATATAAGAATGGACTATATTTCCTCTATTTCTGTTCTCCCCCAGCTTCCTTGTTGAGTTGGTAGGGTAAGTCAGGGAAGGTGATGGGAAGAAAGTGTGATAAGAGACAGAAAGAACTGGAGAAGCTATGTGATTTACCTTAATTTTTAAAAAGATAAGAGATTACCCACAGTGGAGAAGCTGTGTAAGGAAGTGGAAAGGGACAGAGAAAGTAGGGTAGTGAGGGATGAGGGAGTGGCTGAAAAGCAAAGAAGCTGCTCTGTGGCGTGGGGCTTTGGGGAAATAAATAAGGAGGGTGCTAACTAAGGTCTAGTTATGTGGTGTGATTCACTAAGTCTTTAAGACTTCAGTAAAGATAAGTTATCTTGCAAAGCTCTCTAAAGATGGATTTGTGAGTCTTTTGAAATAGATGAAATATTCAGGTGGACATTAAGGCTGGAGTAAGCCCTAGTTTGGAGTACAATTATATGTAATATAAATTAGTAAAATGTATATTTTCTGAGGACTCTCTTGAGGAACCTAATCAGTGGTGCCACCATCTATGGCTATCTCCTACCTTTGGAGAACACGTTGGTCAGAGATGGGTGGCATTTTATGGCCTGGACTTTCTAACTCTACTGAAATTTAATTTTAGCTTCAAAGGATTTAGAATTCAGTTGAATCAAACATGGAAGGGTAGAAAAGTCACTATTACTGACCCAGATTTTGAGGCCTAAGAGAAGGCAAGACCAGATTACAGACAGCATCATGACACCTCAAGGACAGGTCTCACTGACAGGAAGATACTACATTCAGGTCTGGTCCTATCTGCCACGGATCTCTCTGAGTCTTGCTACAGATTGTAATCACTTAGAAAATGCAGAGCTTCTTGCTGGCACTCATGCCCAGGCATATGGTAACAAGGGGGAAGGAAGACCTTGCACGAAGGTCATCATTACTTTTAATGTCATCAACATTTTCCAAGTATGAACATCATAATGGAGGATATGGAATGATTCAGGGGAGGGTAAGTTAAGACCAGATGAAGGTGACCATCAGGATAGAAACTGGGACCAGGAGAAGAGTAGAAAGGATCAGCTATTCCCAAGTGTCCTATATAACATTAGCCCATAAGAAGTGCTATGATTTAAAAAAAGGGTTCTGTGGGAAGATAATTTTGAGCACATTGCATAATATTTTTTTCCCTTTGGGGAAATATATACTTGCATATTATAGGCTCTAAGAAGTCTCGCCAAGAAAAAAAAATCCTGCTTAAACTATTGTTGCTCAAATGTATTTAGTCATGAAATACATTATGTTAGCAACATCTATTAACATCCAAAGAGGCAAGTATTATTCAGAATATACATTGATTAGTATTAGGATAGATGATGTGTATGAGACCATTTTATAACAGGTTATATTACTCTTTTTTACTTATTTATTTTTAATTAAGAAAAAAATTTAAAGTTTTATTTATTTGTTTATTTTGAGAGAGAGTATGAGCAGGGGAGGGACAGAGAGAGAGGGAGAGAATCCCAAGCAGGCTGCATGATGTCAGTACAGAGCCCAATGCCGGGCTCAAACCCACAAACCATGAGATCATAACCTGAGCCAAAATCAAGAGTCAGATGCTCAGCCAACTGAGGCACCCAGGAGCCCTGATAACAGGTTATATTAGTCTTATGGCTTAAAAAAAATACTGAGAGCCATAAGTCTATTGTCAGTCTAGAGTCAATTACTATGCCTTTTGGCTTTCCTGTAATTTCAGTGTAGAGCTTCATTCTGCTATACACTCAGACACTGCTTCGTGAAAACTAGGTGAGGTTTGTAAGATGCATGCTTTTCTCCATTTCTCCTAAATGCTCAGTACTTTCATTATCCTGTTACTACACAGGAACTCTCATTTGGCAAATCTCGAGGGTGTAATCCTTTGCAGGGTTGCATGCATCAGAGGTTTTTAACTCCCTCCCACCAAAACCAACCTCTTTTCTCAGTTAACTTTCTGCTAGAGAGAACCTATGAATTACCCCATCTGGTCACCAGGCTAGCCAGGTTGTGTATTTGCAGCATAATAGGGGTTTACTGAAAATATCTCTTTACCTGATGGGTTTTCAGAACTGGAGCAGGTTAACAGGAGGAAATGTTTTGGGTTAGATGGATCTTCAATGATCCACAGATTGTATCACTTGAGAGTCACGTCTTGTCTTTACATGAAGGGGACTCAATCTGTTGTATGATGTTCTATTTGAAGGAGCCATGCTTGACTGTGTGGTATATTTCTTTTCAATAGTCCCAGAATTCCTGGTGCAGTGTTTCATACGTAACATCAAGTGTAGGGGAGTGTCTATTTATGTTTAATGAATAAATAAATGGCTATCTGACAGCTGGGGATTTTTTGTTAATTTTAATTTTTTAATAGATAATGCACTCACATGATATAAAATGTAAAGGGCACAAAAGAATATGTGATTAAAAGCATATTTCTGTCCTTTTTCTGTCCTCAGGCATCCCATTTTCTTCTCCAAGGCAATTATTATTAATTTCTTTTTTTTATTAAAAATATTTTTAATGTTTATTTTTATTTTTTAG